CCTTACTTGTGGGCATTCCCTATATTCAATCTTTAGCTCTTTTCTCCCTGTACTATCTCTTGGCGAACACACCAGTTTCATACCTTTCACTTCTAAATTTATATCCCAGTCCTGACTTCTCCTGGGGCCTACAATCCCATGTTACTAAGTACTTATTGAATTTCTTCTTCTGGTATCTCTCATAAAATCAAAACTATCTTATTTTCCTTAACATATAAAATGCTTTCACAAATTCAGAAGAGAAAGACAAACACCTATTATTTAAAAACTGGGCAAAGACATGCACAGGCAACTCACATGTAGGTATGCATGTGCACAATATACATATATAGTTGAACAATACAAATAATGGTTAAATGCAAATTAAATGACTTGATGCCATTTTTCAGTGATGCAATTCACAATAGCTAAAAAGCCTCAGAAACTCAGTGTTGGTCTATGTATGGGTAAACAGACACTCTTGTATATTGGTGGTGGAAGTAGACATTTGTACTATTCTCTGTTGAGTGATTTTCAGTGTGTACCACAGTCTTTCAAATGTGTGAGTCCTTGGGCCCAGTGGGCTTCAATTCTAGGAATAATCAGAGATATGTTATTCTGTAAGAACAAGAATTGTTGTTTACTAGTATGTTGTTGAAAACTTGGAAGCCTGCTAAATGTCTAGCAGTGGAAGATTGGTTAATAAAATCTGTAGAGTCCTACAGTGGAATGCTATGTGACCAATAAAAGTAAAGTTTTAGAAGTATACTTAATATTATGTGGTTGTCTGGCCACTATGCTGTACACCTGAAACTGATATAAAATAATGTTGAATGTCAACTGTAATAGAAAAATAAAATTAAAAAAGAAGTATACTTAATTACCCAAGAAAACATCCACACTATATTGAATATCAGGTTATTAAGTTAGTTTATGAAAAGGATTATACAAAATTATCCCTATTTTGTAAAACAAACAACAACAACAACAAAACCCCACACCATATACAAACTGGAGGGAAATACGTGTAAATATTAACAGTGAGTATTTCTGGAGAGTGATATAGGTGATTGTGCTTTTCTCCTTTATAATTTCCCATGTTCTAAAATATCTACAATGAACATTGATTACTTTTATAAAATAAAAAACCTGATCAATGTGATGTCTTTTAGTAGTAGCTTATTTAAAACCAGATTCCTGGCTTCCCTCTTTCTGGCCATGGTCCAAAGGGGTGAATGTTGAACAATGTCATCGATCCAAGCTTCCAGGCTCAGAATACTGCAGCCTTAGAGCTTTGATTGCTCCTCACTCCCTCTGCCCACTCATTGAGTCTCATCCCTTTAGGACATCTCTCAAATTTGTTCTTCCCTCCTGAGTCTCAAGTTAGATCAGTTCATTTCAGCAAGCATTTATTGTCTCAGTGCCAGTTCAACATTATTGGAGTTATCTGCTAATACGTCTCCTC